CTTAATTAATTAATATTAATCAATCATAATTAATAATAAACCAATTATAATATAATTAATTAATATTAATTTTAATTAAACTAATTATAATTAATTAATCATTAATTATAATCATTTAACTAAAATTAATTATAATTAATTATATTAATTAAAATTAATTAGGATAAGTACAATTAAAATTAACTAAAATTAATTTTAATTAAAAAAAATTAATCCCTTTCTCTCTTTCTCTCGGTTCGGGAGTTTTACGGGATTTGGCCGTGGAAGCACACCAAAGGGAGAAAGTTACCCACACTGCCGGCGAGTTCCCGTTGTTGCTCCGATCAAAATGGCGTAACTTCCGGTCCAACTTCACTGTCGGCGAGCTCCCGTTGTTGTTCCGATCAAAATGTGGTAACTTTCGATCCGAGAGCAAGGAAAGGTCGTGGAAGAAACGAAGTCCGACAGCAATGAAGAAGCCGGAGAAGCGCATGTGAGGAAGAAAGTTGCCTTCCACAGCAAGCGAGCGCTTGTCCTTGCTTCCGATCAAAATGTTGTAACTTCCGATCCAGAAGGAAGGAACGACGCCGGCGGGGGAGGCGAAGTCGTGCAACAGCGACGGGAACCGAAGAAGCGACGAAGTCGAACGGCGACACAGGAGCTCTCACGATCGGCAAGCTTCGATCGTTGCTTCCGATCAGCTGGAAGGGAAAATCGTCGCTGGAGCGAGGTCGAGAGAGGAATGAGGGAGAGTGAGAGAGCTCGGGGTGGAGAAAAGAGCTTCGGCGCGAGAGAGGCCGAAGGCCTCATTGTCTCAGAGTTTTTAACGACTCGAAATGAGTCGTGGGGAGAAATGACACGAGGCGCGACGCTCGGTATGGCTTCGACGTGCGACGAGCGGCGCTGGATCGTGCGACGTGGGGAGGCAGGTAAGATTTGATTTCTCTATATTTTTTTTATACGCAGCAGGTCAACACCCCCTTCTCTCTAATGCTCACATAAGAAGAAGTAGACCCAAAGGAAATTATATTAATCATTCGTCAAATAAATTACAACATATTTGACCACTCTATATAGGTCTCCACTCATGAAAAGAAAAGTACCAAACTGCCATCTAGGCTACAATAACATGACAGTTCCCCAAAGGGGTAAAAATGGAAAAACGGTCAAACTAAACAACATATCATGAAAGATGAGTCAAAAGTAGAGGCGCTGAATCGTGGCCGTAGATCTGTGATTCCTTCGTCGATAAACATGTCTGTAGTGCCTGTCGATGTCCTCATCAGGAAGGCAGTTAGACCCATAGTGCAGGGATTCTCGGTTGCCAAGAACACTTGGGGGCTGTTTGATAGCTGGATTTTGAGCTAAATGCCAACAAACGCAAAAATTGAACATCTTAAAGCAAATTAAATCCTCTATTTCCTTTTGTGATAAATTTCTGATTTACTAAATCCTGAGTCCAGCAAATTTGCAGGACTGGGCAGATTTATAGGACTTGGTCGAAGAAGCCGTTCTTACTTCTAATTCAACAAGATGATTGTCATCGTACTGTTTTTGTTTTTTTTGAACATTTAAGCTAATTAAGACAAATTCACACATACATTTACATACGCGAGCATCAAACCTAAAACCTCTTAATTCAAAAATTTTTGTACTAAAAAACTTCTCCAGAAAGCACTAAGAAAGCCATCCCAAACGAAGCTCTAGTTAAATCTTGCTAAACATAGGAACGTCCTCAATATATAGATCCTTAAGTGAAGATAAACTTTCCAAGGAGGAAGGGAGAGACTGTAAAGATTTGAGAAATAAAAAATTCATCTCAGAAAGAGAAGACCTAACTTTCATAAACCACTGCTCCGACTCATTTGTAAATGTAAACAGCTCATCATTTGACCAAATACTCAGCTTTTTTAAGGAGGCGATGCTTCTCAATGGCTCCATTAGCAACACCGATGGATCACTTATATAAAGAGATCGCTGAGCATGAGATGACAATTATCCATCTTATATAAAGAGATCGCTGAGCATGAGATGACAATTATTAGTGGTCTCCACTTCTCGATATCTTCCCAGAGAGATCAGATTGGGGCAAATTATCATTATCAAGTATCTTAGTGCTGCAAGTCTTGCTATTTCATCTGCCAGAGGAAGAGATGTAATGTTTGGACAGCCATAGACCTCTAATGTTTCAAGAGGAATTGGATTTGAATTGCTACAAAAATTCAAAGACGTCCACCCAATTTTATATATCTTCAAGGTCTTGAGCTTAGAAGAAAAGAGGGCAACATAGAAGGCAAAGAGGGAATCTCTTTCAACTTCAGGCAGTTATGTAGCCTCAGTTGAATTAAGCAATGAAACAAACATCCATCTTCAGCAGCAACTCCTGCCTCAAACCAATCCTCCAATGCTTTTAATTTCGTAATATGTAGCAGCTCTAGCAATGGAAAGGCATGGTATTTATCATTCCCATTAAATTTACTTTCAAGCCATTTTGCTTTCGGCATTTTAGAAAGTGTCAGTGACTTGAGGTAGGGAAGTTGCCCAAAAGGTGGAAGAGTTTCACACTCCAAGCAATCTGTCAATTCGATTTTCTCTATATTGAAGATCGGATTGACATTGTTCATCCATATTGCATACCTTGCACCCAGTGGACCGGTCTAACACCTGATTAGAAGTTCTATAGAACAAGATAATATAATGCAAATATTTAAACTGCCCAATCTTTTTTATGATGTCTGATTTTGTAGTTTCAACAGACAAATGTCGGAGAGTTTTAGAAATTATAGAAGGCAACTTTGTATCATCCTCAACTCTTAAACATTCATGTATAGAAACTGATTGTGTCAATTCATCTATTAAATCATGCATCTTGTAGTATAGTCCAAACTTATCAAAGAAAGATTTTAACCAAAACATCAAAATACCTTCCACCAATATCCTCCATAGTACATTCTTGATCATGAGATTGCTGAAGCCCAATGCAATCCACATTTTGACTAAATCATCTTTATCAAATCTATAATTTTCTTGAAATATAGAACAAAATGCAAAACAATTTTGTAGATGTTTTGGGAGGAACATATAGAACAATCTTAAAATGTGAAAGATGTCATCCTGACCCAATTTTGGACTTACAAAATCACTATTTAAAACTTTTGTCCAATGCCTTTCAACCAAGCTAGAATTCAAAACATCACCGCTGACCTTTGCTGTGCCAATGGAGATCCTGAAAGCTTTTTAACTCTCTCCAACAATGGATCTTAATCCTTTATAATCATTAGGATTCTCTACAACAGCAAATACATGAGAGTTGAGGAGCTTCAAACATTGATCTTCCTCCAAGTCCTGTAATTTAAATGTTTCCTTATTCTTTTTAATCACCTTTGCAATTGTCAAAGCAACTGAGTCCATTCGAGTTATTACCAAAATCCTACTACCAAAACTCCCATAAGCCCAAGGGCCGAGCTCCTCCCATTTACTTTTATCCAGCTTCTCATCATTCTCACAAATGTCACCCAGCACAAGTAAGAACTTTTTGGCCACCGATCCGAAGACTATCTTGAAGTGCTAAAAGTGTCTCCAAACAAGGCCTCTCATTCTTAAGAGATTCCTACATATCTGCAATGACTTTTTTCACATCAAATTATTTGGTTTAAGTAGGAGGCTGCAAAGTTATCAGCTTTTCTTCCGATGCATCATTTTTTTTCTTTTTTGGAACCAACTAAAATATGACTCAAAAAACTATATTAAATGAAGGAGTGCAATGCCCGGAATTGCCAAGAAAGCGAAAAGAACACGTCCAAAAACCAAAATTTAACAGGTAAAATAATAATTCAAACCAAAGATCAAGAAAATGAAAGGTTACAAAAAAAGAAAAAAATATAAACCGAGAGCTCAGAGCAAATAGAAGAGACTAATAATCTGCCATCAGATGAAGGCAGTTAGAACCATAATGCAGGGAATCTCGGTTGCCAAAAACACTTTGGGGCTGTTTGGCAGCAGGATTTAAGGAGTTGGACAGGATTTAGAGCTAAATCATACCAACGCAAAAGTTGAACATCTTAAAGCAAATTAAATCCTTTATTTCCTACCTTTTGCAATAAATTTCTGATTTACTAAATCCTATAGTTCAGCAAAATTGCAGGGCTTGGCAGATTTACAGGACTTGGCCAAAGAAACCATTTTTACTTCCGATTCAACTTTTTTGTTTTTTTTAAACATTTAGGCTAATTAAGACAAATTCACACATACATTACATACACAAGCTTCAAACCTAAACCTCTTGGTTCAGAAATTTTTGTACTATAAAGTTTCCTTTACAAAGGATTAAGAAAGCCGCCCCAAATGAAACCTTAGTTAAATCCTGCTTGTTGCCAAACAGCCCCTTAAGGCCTAATTCGTGGATGTTATAAACCATAACAAAAGAGAGGCCATCCAGGAGAACCCCTAGGGCCATATAACTCATCATAGCCCTCTCGGATTAAAAAAAAATGACAAACAAAACAAATTTCTAGATAAGGAGGCTTCCACCGATCTGAAAAAGAGAACATTTGAGATGAACGTCGTACTTCTTATGAAGAGAAATATAAATTGTAAAGAGGGATAAGAGACTCATGCTGTCTCTACTCTTTTTTTTTTTTTTCATCCATAAAGGGATAAGAAAATTTTCCTTGCATTCTTTCCCACCCACAGGTAACTAGTCTCATAGGAAGAAAAAAATCTAGCAGCCTCAATCCAAAACTTGAGTAAATGAGACCCATATGAACGTGAAGTTTGTAGAAAGAAGAAAGGCAAAGAAGGTA